TCAGTATTAATCAAATGTCACGCTTTCAAAGTATGGATACATGAATTCCCTGTGTCACTGTCAATAGTACAATAGCACATAATAATGATTGTCACTTCTGGGGCATAAGTTCAACCAATCATCAACATATGATTGTTTCTAACAAGACCGAAGTCATGTATAAGCTCTGTGAACTCTAAGATATGCCAATTTTATCCCAAACTCGACAAGATGACCACAGGTAAAATAATATAAAAAAATTCTTATCAATAATCATATTTGAGCTTATACCTGTAAAATCATCAAATAATCATATACGCTCGATTTAGTTTATATTACATCTCAAATAACGTATCAATGCTTAAACTTCATGAACAATAATTCATAAAAGTTTATCAATAACAATAGTTGTCATCCTCTTTGCTCTAAGTGAGCCAATAACAATTCAAACACATTACGTACAATATGATCAATCACATACTTATCAAGCATAAACACAAATGGCTATACACACCTAACTGAAGTTGCTTGATTTTATTTTAGATCAAACACTACCAGATACTTTTGCCTTTCTTCTTTGTTTGTGAGTATCCACCGAAATCACTTGCTATAGGAATGGAGAAAACACAAAAATAATATCAATATCATCAACTAGTATTGATTTCAACATAAATACTCAATTTCTCAATAAACCTTAATTAGGACTCAATTTTTAATGTTACATTTTGACCCAAATTATAATTGGTAATTAGATTAGATTTTATTATAATTCTAATGGTTGAAGATTTCTTGGTAATTTATTTTTATTTAATAAAGTAAATATTTATTTTAGTTAATAATTCTTATGGAATATGAATTTTTGGTGACTAAGTATTTGGCTCTGTAAATAGATATTATGTCTTGACATTTAGGGTAATTTGAGAGAGAATTATTTTGGAGAGATGTAATCCTTTTTAAGATCTCTGCAATTTTGGGACTTATCTTGCAAAGATAGTTTTGTAGCGATGTTGGGAGAGTGTTTTGGGAAATATCGGGTTTTGGTATCTATAGTAGGTTTTGGGATACATGTGATATCATGTTGTACTCTTCATGTTCTCTACGTTTATAATGGATTATTGTTCATCTAGCTCGTGGAGGTAGGTAAGGTTAAACCACGTTCAATCTTATTTCTTGTGCTTGTCTTATTTTATGTTAATGTCTCTTTGGCTATTTTTCTCAAATTCCTAACAACTGGTATCAGAACTATGGTTTGGGATATAGAGTTTTGAAGAAATTTATTACTACGTATTTTGTTAGCGATTTTGGAGACATGCAAGATGAATTTGTTGCAATGAATTTTTAGTTGTAGGGGAACAATTCTTGATTGATCAACACTTTCATGGATATAGCGTAAGAATTGAAGTTGTTAAAGATTTGACGTCAGTGCTTTAACAGATATACGATTTATGTAAAGATTGAAGTTGTTGAAGACTTGAAGACCAATTTTCAATGAAATTTGGGTCGAGTGAGATTTGTTATATTTTGACCCAAATTAAAATTAGTAATTAAGTTAGATTTTAGTATAATTATAGTGGTATAAGATTTTTTGGTAATTGATTTTATTTAATAAAGTAAATATTTATTGTAAGCAAGAATTTTTATGGAATAAGAATTCTTGGTGACCATATATTTGGCTCTATAAATAGAGATTATGTCTTAACCTTTAGGGTAATGTGTGAGAAAATTATTTTAGAGAGATATAATCCTTTTTTGGGATCTTTGCAAGTTTTGTATGGATGTTGGGGGAGTGTTTCGGTATATTAGGTTTTGGTATCTATATCGGGTTTTGAGATATATGTGATATCATGTATTTGTACTCTTCATGTTTTCTACGCTTATAATATAGGCAAGGCTGAACCATGTTAAATCTTGTTTCTTGTGCATGTCTTATTTTATGTTGATATCACTTTAGTTATTTTTTTCGGTCTCACTAACATTTAACAAAAATCGAAATAAATTATGACTAAATCGAATAAACATAATAAGATAAGATAAAAATTTGTTTACTTGTCGGTAGTTATGGAAATGAATGAATAAAGTCATCAAGGTTTGTTTACATATTTTTTAGACAAATTGGATCGCTCCTACGATGCTGGAGAAACACTGTAACACCCCTTTCCTGTATCCGACCCCAAGCACGAGTCGGAGATGTCATGTGACATTTAAAATATTTTCTATACTTTGAAAATCAATAAAATTTTATTTTTTTAAATAAAATAATTTAATATTATAATATATAAAATGTTCTTTAACTACAAATATATATAGTAACACTTAAGTCCATCATATGGTAGTTTAAGTTAAAATATAATATAGTATTACAAACCAGATATCAAATATCCTACCAGAGCATCAAATCATAATTAAGTACATGCCATCTAGTAATATCAAAAGAACATATAGAGATGTCATACTGTTACTAATGAGGCAATCCTTGACAGATGATATCGACTACACTCCTCACCCCGAAAGTATGCTAAAACCTACGCGTGAAACAATCACACGCTAAGTATTCACTTAGTGAGGAATAATAAAGTGAGTAAGGCATTTTAAAAACATAGGTAATCATAAGAGATCAAAATACAATTTATTTCGTATAAAATATATAAATGCATAAAACTGACTTGATAAGCAAAGTTGTTGTATTCGAAAATCCATTCACAACCCAATGTATGACATATGGGTATGTAAGGTACACAATTAGCACCTAAGTGCTACAATGATGTATAGTTATTATAGTACACAACGACACTATACTAACAATTCCGGAGTGGTAATTCATTATGAACACCATCCTTGCACACATAGTGCCATAGTACAACAAATGTACTACTACAAGAACGCAATAATGCATTAAACAAAATCGATCGATAACCACCTTATTCAAAGTATTAAAATTGCACCTAAGACTCTCAATGTACATACAATAGGCTATTATATCCAAATCGCAGATTAAAAATTTATTCTAAAACATTAACATCTGATAATAGTCTGAAACACACCCACTTGTTTTACGTCAGTTAATACCCTAAAATCATTCAATAAAATCATTTTTATAAAACTTTATGAAAATATTTCAAGATGCGTTAAAAACATGCTTACTAAAACACTCGAGGTTGACTCATCGCAAGTCTTCATCATATCATATAATTACATAATAAAATGCACTCACCTAGTATGCCTTACTATCGACATCCGATTATTCTTGTACTTTTTCCTTGCCTTTCGATTTGCTTGTATCATGAGTTTGATCACGATCTACAAACGTATCAATGCATAGCATATACAAATATAAAATACATGTTAGTATTCTTACTAACATTTTAAGCATAATAATAATACTCAAAAGTACTACTATTTTTGAATTCTTCTAGAATTCATCTTAACTTTTCCTTTTTACTCATAATGGCCCCTCACCATTATTTCTTCAATTCAAGTCTCAAACAACTAAATAAATTTCCAGCATCTAATTTCCGACCCAATACCTCAACAATACCATTATTACCACTTAAGTCACTAACTTTCTCAATAATTACCATTTGATGCTCAAACTTTGCTAACTTCCCAAAATAGCCCAATTTCAACCCTTTAAAATAAAAATCCAGCAATGAAGATCAACTATTGAGTAATTACACATTTACTCCATAACTTTTCAAAATTATCAAATAGGTCTCCAACTTTTGAAAAATTACAAAATGGTCCTAAATTTTTTCTAAGGCTTTTAGAACCCTCAAATATCATTTCTAAGCTATAGGAAAATTTTCACAATTTTTCCCCAATTAAAACCCTAAGGCCAAAAATATAGGGGGTTAAATTACCTTGATTTTCAATGGATTAAAGCATGAAATCAACCTCTATTCAATATTTCCAAGTCTCTATAATCAAACCGCTAACTTAATTTCATCAAATCATAAACTTTCCCCAATATAGGGTTTAGGTGAAATTTCTATGAACATATATAGGTGATTTTAATCATCAATCAAGCTTGGAAATGATTCTATAACATCAAAAACCTCACAATCTAGTTAAACCCTAACATGAACATAAACCCTAGAATTTGGGATCTTTGAACTCAAGCAAGATTAGCATGCAATATTGGTACCACATGATAGCGTGTTTTAAATAGAACAATTTTCTATTTCACGGTTCAATCCAAAATTCAAAAGAAATTGCCCAAAAATGAGAATTAAAATTTTTCTTACCTTGGTCAGGGAGTCATAGCTAGGTTGGAGAAGATGAGAAAGCTTACATGAAATATTTCCTTAATTTCATGTTATTTTGTCATTTATTTAGCTTAAATGAATTAAAAATTCATTTAATTGAGAAATGACAATTTCACCATTGATCAAACTTGATAATTACCTTCATACCAAGCCACATAACTCCTATCATCTTCCCAAAGTCACAGATGAACAAAATATTATACCCTTTACCAATTTACCCATGCAACTTTCTGAAAATTTCAATCTTGCCATTTTCATCCAACGGTCCAAATTGACATGGAAATAAATTCTCAAATCCAATGATCTATATTATTTTTCGTCATTTTAAAAATTTGGAAATAATATTTTTTAAGCTTAATTTATCATCCTTCAAATTTTCTCAGAATTTATACTCGATTTGATTTACCGATTTTTTACTGGACTTTAACACTTTCTAGATTTTAACACAAAGTCCGGATCATAAATCTAATTACCACCAAAACACATTATTGGAGGTGAACTATTTATTTATGGAATAAAAATTCTTTTTAGGAAAATTACCACTTTGGTCCCTAATGTAACACCCATATCCCGTATACCTTTCTGTACACGATATACAAAGGTCACATCACTTAAAAAACATTTTGTCATTTGAAAACCCGTAAAATTTTGTTTCAACTTTAACAACGACAAAGTATGATATTCATAGAAGCAAAATACTAAAACTACCACTTTAAATACATTATAAAATATTTTCTATAGTTCAATTACATGCCAACTAAGTTTTCAAAATGAATAAGATTGTCCCTATGTTACTGACGAGTCAACCTTTAATTGATGAAAGTTATTATTGCTTCACTCCTTACTCGACAAAACCTTGATTGTTTCCTACGCGTGAAATCAACACACGTTAAGTATTTACTTAGCGAAACATAATACTATAAAGCTGTCACAAATTATACATAAGTATCTTATGACTACTGGATGACGAATTAAATTGCATAATTCATAAAGACCATATAAGCCCTTCTCAGTTAAACCATAATTCTTTCATACAATCATTGCAATTATTCTTAGTAGGCCCATCATACCTATCATTCTGTATATTTTTCCCATTATTCTTTATTTGTCGTGTGTACATTAAATGAGAAAGCACTATACATGTATTGCACCAAAGTGCCAATTGATCATGTATCTTTTATAATCATTATGGGTGACTCCTTAAATACTATTAATACACCGTTTTGTATTTTCATTTGGGGCATCCTTTCATGCCCATTATATACTGTTTATGTTTTCCTTTATGAAGTCCATTCACATTATATATATATGGCATCATTTCATACCACTTATGCATCGTTTATATCAAAATTCATTGTAATTCCTTTAGTCTTTTACCCAAAGGCATTTAGCCTTTCATCTAACTTACATGATTGACACTTTTCTGTCAAATGCATAACTAGGCCATTAATCTTTTACTCAACGGTATTTAATCGTTCATCTAACTGGCATAATTGACACCTTTCTTCCAAATGCATAGCTAGGCCATTAATCTTTTACTCAACTGTATTTAACCGTTCATCTAATTGGCATAATTGACACTTTTCTGCCAAATGCACAGCTAGTCCATTAATCTTTTACTCAGCGATATTTAACCATTCATCTAACTGGCATAATTGACACCTTTCTGCCAAATGCACAACTAGGCCATTAATCTTTTACTCGACGGTATTTAACTGTTCATCTAACTGGCATAATTGAAACCTTTCTGCCAAATGCACAACTAGGCTATTAATCTTTTACTCAATAGTATTTAACCGTTCATCTAACTAGCATAATTGACACCTTTTTGCCAAATGTGCAGTTAGACTATTAATCTTTTACTCAACGGTATTTAACCGTTCATCTAACTGGCATAATTGACACATTTCTGCCAAATGCACAGTTAGACAATTAATCTTTTATTTTAGAACTTTTTTTACTCTAATAATTATTTATAATATCACTTAACTCTTTCAATTCATTATAAATTCTATAGTTTGCACACGTAGTGCCAATACGGTAATTTACAAACTTATTATAATTTACGTGGGTTGCACACTCACTATCAATACAGAAATTCATATAATTTATTAGTTTTTGCACTTAAAATGCCCATACGGGAATTCATAAACTAATTATGAATTTCTTAGTTTTTTGCACACTTAGTGCCAATACGATAATCATCATACATATATCAATAAATCATAAATCTATAATTACTGTAACATCTACGTACATAATAAATGCACTAACCTAGATTGCCTCGCTATTATATCCAAAATACAAAGTTGATTACTCAGGTACTTTGTCTTTGCCTTTTTTTTGACTCGAGAGCTTGATTTCGATTTACTCAAGCATCCAATAAAGACACGTATAATATCAATTATTAGTATATTTCCTAACAATTATACTTAAACGTTACTCAAGAGTACATATTATTATATTTTCTATAACAATCTTAGCTTATCTTAACATTTCTAACTCAATAGTATCGATACCCCTACCATGGTATCGATACTACTATACTATAGTATCGATACCTTATTGTGGTACTGATATCATTTCTGCATTCTGTTAACAATGGTATCGATACCATCCTCATAGTATCGATACGCCCCTCTTGGTATCGATACCACTTGAATCGGTATCGATACTACTCAGTGAATTCTTCTGATTTTAAGCCTATAGTATCGGTACTGTTCTATCAGTACCGATACCCTTACCCAGATTTTACATTTTTCAGTACAAAACTTACCCAAATTTAGTCAAATTTCTTTATGTTTACCCACAATACTACTATTAAACTCTTCTCTACTTATCCATATTAACATTCCTTCATTTAGTTTCTTAAAACATCTAAAATCTCTCAAGCTTACTTGAATCTAAGAATCACACTATATTTTCTAACTTATTTTTAAACTCATCCAATGCTTATAATCTCTTATTTACTTTATTGACAAGTCAAATCTAGTAGTAAACATCAATAAAATACTCATATCATAACATATCATTACAAAACCCATTTCCTTAAATCTCCCATATTTCATTCATCTTTTAGGTTTAATCATATTTAATCCTTCCTTAAGCTTCTATAATATTCAATGCTTCAAAAACCAACCAAAAATGGAAGAAGAAACTATCTAAATAAAACCTCACCTTTGCTATGGGAGAGAGCTTGCTCCACGGGAAAGAAGAAGAAAAGAGAAATAACTTTTTGGCTAATCTCATTCCCCTTTCCCCTTATATAATACCTTATTAAATACCTTATTAGAAAATGAATTTAAAATTTATTTTCCTTTAAAGGACCAAAATGCCCTCTTTATTCATCTATTTATACAATTTAGTCTAACAATATTCCAAATCATTCCCCATCTTTTACCCTTTATTCAAATAAATCTTCAAATTTCAAATCTGTTCAATAAAGTCCCTGACCTAATATTTGGAGTATTACACCTAAACGTTTCCCAATTTATACTTTGGTCATCAAACTTTCAAAATTTATGTTTTGGTAATTAACTAAAATTTGGGATATTACAAACACTGTTCGACTGTCTCTCACTATACAACAGTAAGATGAAGACTGTAGTAGCACGACTTCAATGATCAACGAATTGCATCCTTACCTTTTTCTATCACCGAAAACGTTTGAATTAGAGAAAATATTCTTTGAATTTGTGTCTAACGTTGTAGGTTTATATGGTTTAAATGGGAGATTCGCACTAGAAAATTTTTGGAAAATTTGAATAATGGAACAACTAATATTCAAGAATCAAGGAATCATTAGTGCATAATATTTTTCATATTATGAATTAATGTAACAATTACATAAAATAATGTCTAAATTAAAGAGTCGTTAAATTTAGTTAATTTTATCTCTTTTTTTTAATTCCAAACGAAATTTAAAAAGATGTGATTCATGTATATAAATACGTCTCACAATTGGTACCCTACCAATGTGGAATATAAGCTTTTTATTTCTTCAACGTAAGTTACAAGTAGTTTACATTGAGTATCAATTTCTCATTCAATTATTTTAAGCATATTATATACTGTTGTAAAAGTCTCAAGAAGTAAATATAAAACCATAATTTTATGATCCGAAACTTCATCTTCATTCATTAAAAATATGCCTCCAACTAGCTGTACCTTATATTTATAATTGGACTTGGGGCTGTTTAGTGATTGGGTAACATGATTGTCCCGGGCAATCAAATGGATATATTGTTAACTTGCAGCCTAGGTTGTGTCATGATATTTCTTCACAGGTATAGTAAAGGCCGAAAGTTCTCCATGTTGACAGAATTTGGACTTTTCAAGCTACGTGACAATCTCTAATAATTATTCTTACATATGTTATCTATTTTAATTTTTTGCCTATCGATACTGACTTTGCGAGAATATTAATGTATATTCGATTCCCTGGTGATGCAGACAATTACTTAAACTTGTCTAAAGAACAATTTCTGCCGCTAATTATGATATTAATAAATCTTTAGCTTAGTGTAGTTGCCTTTGGACCAGCGGATGGGATGTTATTAAGCTTAAAGCTAACAAAATTGAATGAGCCTGAGAGCACGTGCTTTTGCTGTATCTACAAGCTTCTAGTTATGGAGTTCGATTATTTAGAAAGGCTAGAAAGATTGAGATGAAGTTTATTCTGGAGTGTAATTAAAATGAACTAGAGTAGTGATGAGTTCAAATTCGGCCTCGATAGGAAACTCGAAGCTCAATATTAACATGATCAAAATCAACTTTTTTGATAGCTTGAGTTACTCGAACTCAAATCGACAATCATCAAATTCGGTTTGATCGCACAAAAAAATGAGAATACTTGCGTTTCATACAATGAACATAGATCCAACAATGCCAAAAAAATCAAACCACCATTCGATATTTAGCCCAAAAAGAAGGATCAAATAAATGAAATCCGTCAAGAAATTATTTTTCTTGTGAAAAAAAGTTGTATCACAAGCTAAGTGAAGCGGGGAAAGTGCAAATCATACAACAGATTCTTCTTTGTTACCCCTCTTTTTGGCGTTTACCATTGCTGCTTCTTTCAACCTTATGAGCTCTTCAAAGCAATGGTTATACTGTGAATCAATGGCATCAAGCTCCAACTTCAGCTCCTCGAACTTATCCTTGTCCTCCAATGACACTGAGCAAATGCTTGAAAAGCTCAGGTTTTTGTGATGTAAAAGAACATGAATCCATTACGTTGGATGTATCGGAGTTCTTTGCAGAATCGTTTATCACAACAGATTCACAACGGTTTTCCTCATCACTCGCCTCTTTATGTCTAAGATGATTATAAACCCACCCAATATCCAGACCAAAGTCATATGTGCTTGAACCTATGTGACATCCATCATTGCTGTAATCAGAAGATTCCATTGGTTCGCTATTATTCTGATCTGTTGCTACCATCACATCTGATACAGTCTATATATCGGAACTGAGAGACTCTTGGGTATCTTGACATTTCGCGACAGCCAACTCTGAGAAAACGCCTTGTTCACCAACTGTTTTAATAGTGAAACTACTTGGGCAACCTATGTCATCTCGTAAGTGTAAATTGCTTCCAAATGGAGGTTTCCAGCAGGGTACAAGATCCGAAATCAGGCTATCAATCAACTCCGCAATGACAGTTATATCTTCATTCGACAAATCAAGTTGTTCAACCATCTCCACAGCAATTGAAATAGCGGTATCAGAATCTAGATAAAATAAAAAATGGATATTCCTAGCTCGACCTGTTAAAAGAAAAGCAATGGTGCATAATTCATTTTTTGAATATGGAGTAAGATTTTTTCTAACAAATTTACTTACCACATTGATCAGCAATGCGC